TTTATATACCAGAAAGCTGAAGCTGACCAGAAATAGTCACCCTAGAAGTTGTGGCCCACCATCATCTTTATGATACCGAACAAGCATTATGCTTTACTAAGGGTGTTGCAATACAAACAACCAGATCAACCAGTTTAAACGTGGTCGAAAGCAGCTGACTTGTGATGTGGGGATTTGTTCATGAACTCATCAACAGTAAGTACCCAGTTTTGATGCTCTCCTCATACATTTTTTGATCGACAAAGCCTTGTGCACCCCTTAGCTACCTGCAGCCCGCCCAAACACTTCAAATTCTAGAGCGCATCTCAGCTGGCATTCGCTTTTCATGCCTTGACACTATTGCAGTCCCTTCCCTTCCTGCACGAAGCGCTTCCCCATAACATACACATTATCACAATAAGGGCATGCCCCAACATGGCCGTGAGTCAAAGCACGGAGCGCGGTTTACTCTGGTAGGCTGACCATGTCTGGCAGTCTCTTCTGTTCATTTTCGCCTGTAGGACTGCCCCAGCTTCTTTGGTTCCGTTTCCTGCCAACCCGGTCAGCCCACAGGTGGCAGGCCAATGCGGATGCGCCGGGCAGCCTTTTTTTGGTAGAAGTGGCGGCTGGGGGCCATTTCTTTGGGGAATTGAGGTGTGTAACCCTAAACCCTACCCCACAAGGGGAAAGGGCGGTGCGGGACACGATTCGCACATCGGTGTGGGTTTTTGGATGTTTTTTTGGATGGATTCCAGGAACTTGCCAGTGATGGTAGACATAGGAAACACACAATCTATTCATTCTTTCCAATTTCACCCGTCGGGCATCGTTGGAGTCACCCCTGGCGCCCCCGATCCATCAAATAGAAAACCTCGAAATTTCAGGAGCGCAGAGAGGGCCTCCTACCTACTGCTTCCCAAAAGAAGTGGCCGCTTCGTGGTAGAAACATCGAGAGGTGCCCAGGCCGCCAGGCCCCGGCCCGGGCCCGGCCCGTCCATGACCCTTGCCTCCGAGGCCCCTGATCCGGGTCATGCAGCTGCTCCGCATCATCAGGTCCTTTGGCCCCGACCGAGAGCGCGGCGGAAGAGATCCACCTCCCAAGTGTGAAGTCCTGGGGATGTCCATGGGATGCTTTCTAGCACTCAAGGGTACTCAAGGTTTGATGAGGGATCTTTGGAGCAGTTTCCACTTCCATGTCAAGTCAGTGAGTCAGAGTTGTGCCCCATGTGTGCTCCACCATGGAAGAGATTTAGAGAAAAAACACGCGATGCTCATCGACCCCTGATGCTCCATGCTCCTCGGCTGAAGGGTTGTGGTGAAACATCCCCCCCCGAGAGCCGTAAGGGTGATACGGTATCCCTCACATTCCCGCTTGGAAGCGGCAGGATTTCGGCTCACATGGCTCGCCCGTATTTTTGGTTCATGCGTAGACTTCCGTGAAGCTTTCCATCTCCATTGAAAGCTGGGCAGGTTCGGTTTAAAGCTAGTTCCCATCTCTCCATCTTGGAATCGGGGGCTTGGCACATGCCTCAGCACGTGCCTAAGTAGGCCTTGTTCTTCGATGCAAGTAGGCCTTTCGGTCGACGACCCGTTCAGCAGGCCATTCTGACTCACCGCCATAGAAGGGGCAAATGGATGTTAAATGAATGAAACATGGTCCCTTGGAAGACTTTACAAAGCCAGGGGATGAACTCCACTTCCATGGGAATGTAGGAATGTCGGAGCAGCTACCCTACCAGTCACCGCTTGAGGATTGCCAAGCTCTTGCGGCTCCGTCACGAGCTGGTGGTGCGGAGCCCGTCTAAGACGGAGACGGGGGGAAGACGAAGGGGATGGTGTCACGGCGACGAAAATGCACGAAGGGACGCAAGGACGACATGGATATATATATATATATACTATAATATAATATAATACCATACAATATATAATATAATGTATATTATAAATACACCTAGAGCCTGAATGACTCCATTTTGGACCACCAACCACCCCAAATATGGTCCTTGCCTGTCAATACAGAGCTCACTCAGACGCCTGTCGGTAGAGAGAGAGAGAGAGTGCGAGCGCCGCGTCTTGGGCCATGGCACCGGCGAACCCTGGTTGACCTTGCGGGGAGGTCCACCTACCAGGGTTTTGATCCACGGCCATGTGGCAGGTAGATGGAGTCGTGGCCTGGAGGCCACGGTTACCCCAGACTATAACGCGAGTGGAGCCCAGTCCAACTGAGTAACTGCAATCCTCGAAATCCAACTGTAGCAGGTAGATGTCATGTTGCTCCTGAGACGGTTCAACGGTTTCAACCTTCGGCCTCCCAACGTCGGCATTCGCACGGGTGTGGGGGGGGACCAGTACAACTGCCGTGGTCGGTCGACGGCTCGACGCACGAGCCGCTCGACGACTCGAGGCGATTATCGAGGGTCTCTTTAGTTCGTTACAATGTATGGCCGGCAGCTCAGCGGTCGCGACAGCCGACAGCGAAGCGCTGGCCCAGTGGAGATGCTCCAATTTTCCATATGGATTTGATTAGATGGCACCCTGTAGAACACAGCATGAGGAGGAGTCGGGAGAACATGCATTGCCTGCAGTAAGAGCCTTGAAAGAAAACAAGGGAAGCAGGATGAAGCAGGACATCATGTGGTGGTGTGAATTCCATTGGAACGAAGCGCACGTTGATCCCATGAACAGCTGCCACGAGTCATCTGGCAACCACCATAGTTGGAGGGTTCATTGACCCACAGGCTCAATTGAACATGATCTCCACTCGCATGCAAAGAGCATCATCCACCCTGGCTGGCTGAGACAGCTACTCCTGTTCCTTACAATTGAGTTATATATAGATTATATAGAGGCGATGTCTAACAGATTATTGGAGAGGATTCACCTTTCAAACATGTTCTAGCTACTCGCGGGTGACAATGACAAAGCCTTCTGAGATCCCTTTGGTTGCTGACACCTCTTGCATCACGCCCTGGTCTCCTCTGAGGTGTGGATAGGTCCCCAGCTCAGTCACAGACACCGAACGGAAGTTACGGGGGGTTCGGGCTGACCAGCCAGGCTGGTCTGTGGAAACTGCGGCTTTTGGTTCTTACTCTCCTGTTGCCAAGACAGGTTTTCCGGTTTGATCATGTTGGTCAGTTGAACTGGTCACACTGTGTCAGACCCACACATCTCTGTTGCGGAAGCTGTGCTGACTGTTTGACTCATGATGCTTGCAAGGTGTGCTGTCGGTGCTTGTGCCGTGTCACCGTGTTACATGTTCCAATCGCCCTGAGAATCAATTGGATTCTGGTTGTGGTGTTCTCCTGAGAATCGGATCCTGAGGTTTCCTGTTGATGATTGTGATCTACGCCTTTAGCATCGTTTGCCGCAACGTCATGGGCAACCTCACCAACCAGGACTTCGATGGTCCGGTGACTCAGAGCGGATTAAAGCCAGCCACCGATGCCCAATAAACGGACGCCATGCGCGCCCATGCGCGCCCATGCGCAGGAACCGTGGAACGGACGGCGTTTGGGAGCGGACATCAACGCGCTTTTTTCAGCTTGCCCTTTCTTTCGTGTGTGCAAAAGCCGCGGACGTGTCTGAAGAGCAAAGATCGCAATCCTCAAGACTTGCCGAAAAAAGCTTTGCGAACTGATGGTTTATATATATATATACATACACATACAGTATATATACCAATGTTTTCAAGTCAGGGTTCGACAAGAAGTCTTTCTGGTTTTGAGCCTGGGAAACCTCAGGGAGGTCTAAACAACAAAGGCGGTAATCAGACTAGATTCAGTCGCCTTTCCCTCGAACTCCCGTATCTCATTAAAGGAGAGTGTACCAGGAATTTACATAGGATAGCAGCGATAGCAGGCTCAAAGACTGAGCCTTTAGCAGAACCGCCTAGAACCACGCACCTGCTCTCCTAGAAGGCTCAACAGCCGGTCTGATCGGAGGGACTGACCAAGACGCGGTTTCCTTTGGAACATCATCCCAGAATTGGTTTAAGGGAACGTCATGGGAACATCTACAGGAAACCCATCATTGTGGGGATGAAAGCCATGGCTTTCCGAATGTTTGCTCTTCATCTCCCAATTCTGGGAGATGTTCTCAGCTGGGGGCCGACGGAGGTCGGTCGCCTTCTGTCGCCTTCTGGCGCCTGTCCTGCCACGTGGCGCCAGATACCATCGACAATGAGATGTACTTTGGAACCCTGCCACGAACGATGCTTACGCGCGAAGCCCGGAACGGCGGACGACCGAGCGGTCGGCCAATGCGGGCAGATGCGGGCGGTGAACGCCACCTTTGGGGAAACGAAGGTGATGATGAGGCCATTCCTCATATGTATAAGTCTTGGTGCGATTGTAGCCATCCACATGCCTCTGACCCGGCTTTGGAATGTGGAGGTGACTCATATGGACATGTGTATGAGGAGATTGCACATCCACACGTTCACAGCGGCGAACTCGCCGCCCTTCGTCTTCGTACGCACGGTTCACGAAGATTGAGGCTCTTCAACATCTGCCTCATTGACAACTGGCACGCCTCCCCAGTCACGAGCGGAGAAGGTTTCTTTTCTTTGGCCCGCGCCGCGCAGCCGATGCGGTTGGATCGGTTGGATCGCAGCCGACCGGCGTATGATGGATCGGTTGGATCGGTTGGGGGGGGGGTCATGACGAGTCATGACGGGTCTTGGATCACATGTTCTCACATGGTTTGGACCAGGTCAGATGGCTGGGGGGGTCAGAACCCCGTAGGCCTGGTGGACCGCGGATTCGCGGATTCGCGGATTCCTCGATGTGTCGGGAGGTCGTACGGTGTGGGTCGGCCTCCCCGCGTTGCGTCAGCCCTGCCAGACCGAAAGCCCTTTGATCATCCTCGAGAGGTTCGTGTCCCATCACTTGCAGGAGTACAACCCAGACACTCCATGTATATTGTATATTTACATACATTGGGGTGGTTTCAGGGGTCAATGCAGGCATATTATGTTTGTGTGATACACGGTTTTGTCCCATGAGAGCCAAGGCATTTGAATGTCGTTGCTGTTAGGTTCATCAGGGCCGATGAAGTTGTGGCACGCCATAGGCGTGCAGCTCCTGTCCATCGCCGTAAGGGAGCAGGCACGTTTGTCTAAGTTCGAGGACAATTCCATCCAGGTGACCTGCAATTGCACTGGAAGCTGGGATCGCAGTTGGGGTGCTGCCTCTGAACATCCCCATCCTCTTGTGTTTGCATTTGTGTTCTTTGCAGGGGTAGCTACAGGCACTTGCATTGTGCTGTACCTGAAACGCAATTCAAACAGGAATCCGGATGGTGACCTTGTCGGAGGTGGGGCTAGGAGACGTGGAGGTGGCATCTTATCGTGAACTACGTCCTGGTCGAAAAGTGTATCTCTGGTATGCGGATGACACAGTATGGCATGAGAACATGGTCGCCTTTTTGGTAGGAGGTGATGAAGTTGTGCTATGGACACCTGATGATGATCTTTACATAGAGAGCATTGGTTGCAAAGGTATCAGTGGTCCTTCACGCTTGCGAGGAGTCGGTGTTAGGGGTGGTGTGCCTCACTCAGTTCGAGGACAAGTCTACAGGTTTCGGACCCCACCCACTGATGATCAGATAAAAAAGATTGTCAGAGAGGCACATGCGTTGGTTGAGCGTGAGAGGGGCACAGCGGTTACTCCGACTGAAATCGTGGACTCAATGAACAGGGTTGTCGACATAGACGCTTTTTTTGGGGGATCCTTTGTCAGAAGACGGATGACTGGGAAAGGAGTGCTGGCTGGTGACTCGGCGGGAGGCACTCCGGACTCGCCCAAACATGCCCATCGTGTTCGCCCTGCTACAGCCGATACTGTCTGGGTTGCTTCAGAGCCTCTAGGTGGACTGGCCCTTGGCCAGGAAGTGTCGCTGAATTTGGAAGATGATGTTCAAGTTGGTGACCGCACTGCAATGGCTCTCAGGCGTGGCACCTGGGTCAAGGTTGAGCTTATCCCTGTTTCTGATGCAGCTGGATATGCAGAAGCCAGACGTCAGCTCTTTGAGGCTACGGCTCCCAAGAATCCTGAGGAGTCTTTAACCGAGAAGCCGTTGGTTGTGAAGAAGGAGGCGGATGCCAAACCAGAGGCCATGAAGTCAGATGGCGATGATCCTCCAGAGCATGGTGATGTGAGGACTCTCTATGTTGACACAGATGAACATGGGGAGCGGTTCAAGAGATGGCGGGATGTTTGTAGCGAGAGCTTCACGCCCACCTTTGACAGCAAGCCACTTGAGGGGCCCTGCACGGCTTTGCACTTGATCAAGCACACTGAGAGACAAGGTGGTGATCCTCGGCTTTGGTTGCAATTGTGGCTGAGATCGAAGCACATTGAGGCCACTGACCGCACGTATCACGAGATGAAAGTGTCGGTTGATGTCCTCTTCTATGCTGGCACATTTGATCAGGTGAATATTCCTGGGCTGATCAGCTTGGAGGTTGTGTGTCGTCGATTGCAAGCCATAGTTGATGCATACACAAATGCAAGCAAGCCAAGCTGGGAGAATGCAAAGCTGTTTACAGGGCAAGGTGCGCCGGAGGACATCATTGCGCCAGTCTTCAGGACCTATGCCGCCAAGAAGAATAAAGAGGAGCTGGAGCTACTTCAGGCTCGTCAGCGAGTCCGTGAGTTGCGAGGCTCGCCAGCTGTTGCCTTGGAGGACCCTACAGGTGACGCAATCATTGCACTGCCCAAGAGGACGCCAAAGGCCAAGGCCGGAAAAGGCAAAGGCCGGGCGGATGATGGGCAGGGAGATGCTTGAGAGAAATGAGTTGCTCACTTCTGAGGCTCCGGAGGTGGGCACTGGCAACAGTTCTAGGAGCCTGAGAGGAGGACAACCGGGGTTGCCTGCTGCTATGTCAAAAAGTGGTCGACAGCTTTTTCCTCTTCCTCATGTTGCATGTCCACCTAAGAAGGTGGGAGTGTCGCGTACAGTCGCCAGAAGGCGGAATCGAATTCGTCATTTTGCTGAGCACTGCAACGAAAGTGTGGATGCGCTTAACTGGCTTTCGGGGCACCTTCAACCTGGGGTCAGTTGCAGTGGAATGCAGTCTATGGCATTAGCACGTATGGATGGCTTGATTCGCAGTCAAGAGCCCAATGGTGCTGTGCCTCAGCCGGAGGAAGCCTTGCAAGCGCTTCTCCGTGGCTCCAGCCCTTACGATGGTGCTGGAGTCAATGAGTCACTCGCCTCCTATCAACCAGAGCTTGTTTCATTACCTGCTGATATTTCTGGATGCCCTTTTCTGGAAGATGTTTTGGCAGAAAACGACCGTCTGTATTTGAAGGAGAGATCAGAGCAGATGCTGAGAGGCAGTGAAGATGCAGCAACTTGTGAGGTCAAGCCTTACTGGGATCCAATTCTGCGCTACAACAAAAAAGAATACAATGCCCTGGTCAAGAAATTAACAGACATAGGTTACTTCAATTTCACGACCGTGCCGGAGTGCTTCGTTGGGATTTTCTTCGTATGGAAGAGTTCAAGGACGAAGCTGAGGATGATAACAGACGCCAGGCTGGCAAATGCCAAGTTCAGAGATGCCCCGCCGGTCTCTCTCATGACTGCGGAAGGGCTTGGGAGAATAGAGATTGAATTTGGTGAAGAAGTCAGCAGTCAGCAACAATTAGTCGAGCAGCTTGCGATCCATGTAGGCCTCTCTGACGTTGAGAATTGCTTTCACAGGTTGCGAGTTCCTCTATGGCTTTCACGCTTCTTTTGCTGGGAGGCAGTTCCGGCCAAGGTTGTTGGTTTGGCCGGGCACCAGCTTGAGGGGAAGACGTTGTCCCCGCTTGATGCGGTGTTTCCTTGTGCAGGCAGTTTGTGTCAGGGTTTTTCTTGGGCACTGTTTTTTTGCACAGCGCGCCAACGAGCAGATGTGTTTGCAGGTACCACCTCTGTTGGGGGCTCCTCTATGCCATGACCGAGGTTCCCCGATAGTTCTGAGAATTGGTAGCAAAGATCCGGAATGCATGCATTACTATGTGTATGTTGACAACCTTGGTGTCGTAGACGTGAACAAGGAAAGGGTCAAAGCTGCTGTCACGGGACTTGAGACGGCCTTTGATGGTTGTGGGCTCATTCTTCATGGAAGTGAGGTGACCAGTGGACATGTGCAGGCGCTGGGGTGTGGTTTGGATGGAACCCTGCTTCGCACCACCATAGGAAGAGAGCGCCTGTGGAAAGTCTATCAGGCCTTGAAAGGCTTATTGGCGCGCAAATGCTGCAGTGGCAAAGCCCTTGAGAAAGTTATAGGTCATTGCACTTTTTGTGGGCTGATGAATCGCATGTCACTGTCTTGTTTCCATGCAGTGTACAAGTTCATACAACGGCACTATCACAGCGCTGGTCAAATCTGGACAAGTGTTAGGAAGGAGTTGGCCACTTTTCGTGGGATTCTGTTTCTGCTGGTTCAGGAGTGGGATCGTCAGTGGAATCCCCTGGTCAGCTCTTCAGATGCTTCACTAACTGGGTTTGGAGTTTGTCACGCATGGTGGGAGGCAGCACATGTGGCACAAGTTGGTCGTGTTTTGGAGCGATCTCGATTTCGCAGGTTCGCTTCGCATTCAGCCAGGGAAAGCGCCCTGACATCTGCTGGTCTGGTGAAGACCGAACGAGGCTGGCAATCCGGGTGCGAGGATTCTTTGACTAGACTCAGAGAAGCTGGCTGGGAGCTGGACGACTTGTTCCCAGAGGTTCCAGCGGCAGGGTTGAGAAGAGAACTGTGGACTCCTAAGCTGTGGGGTCGCTGGTTTCACAAAGAAGGAATTCTGATCCTTGAAGCTCGAACTCTGTTGAAAAGTTTGAAAAGGATAGCCTTCACTCGTTGGGGTCACTCGCTGAGGCAACTTTTACTTTGCGATAACATGTCTGTAGTTCTTGCAGTTGAAAGATTTAGAGCCAAGAATTTTAAGCTGCTAGTGATAATTCGGGAAATAGCTAGTATCTGTATAGCTAGGAATATTCATTTGGCAGTTCGGTGGATTCCCTCTGAATTGAATGCTTCGGATGAACCATCACGCATTTTTGAAACTGCAGGATCCGATTTGTTAATTGATTGTCTTGGTGATGTTTGGCCCGAAGGTTTTTTGCACAACAAAGCACACCAGCAGCAGCGGCAGCAGCCTGACTATGGCCAGTCGCAATCGAGAACTTCGGCTACCGCGCCAGGAGTCAGGCTCCCTGACCCTAGAGCCGAAGTCCCGACCGAAGAAGAGGCAGAGAGAGTTGATCCTGGAGCCAGAAGGTCGTCTGCAGGAGTTGAAGGTGGTTCCAAAGAAAGCACGTACCATGAGTCTGACGGACAAGTTCCAGAAGATGCTGGAAGAGAAAAAGATGCCATCCCTTCGACTCCCTCAGACGGACAAGGAGCTCAAGGAAATAGAGAAGATGTTCTTGGTCCCCAATGCAGAGAAGTTGAAAGCAGGAGACCTAGGCTACAGCTCCGACAGCAACAGCACTTCGTCAGAGCTGAGGGGAGACGTAAAAGGAAGGAGGCTTCGTGGGCCCGCAAACAGGCCAAAAGGAGCTCTCAAAAAGCTGGTAGACCAGATGTTGGCCGACCCGAGCAAGCAGACTCTTCTCGAGCGGGCTGCTGTGACGGATCGGGTGAGGCAGAACTACACCAAGCGTCTGGACGAGTTTCGCAGTTTTTTAGAGGAGGCGCGCCTTCCACATGGGAGAGCAGCGGAAATGGATGCAGCTTTGGTCATTTATTTCAACAAGAAGTATCTGGCTGGAGAAGGGGCCTACGTGGGCGATTACACCATGGCAGCCCTGATGGATGCGGACCCGTCTTTTGGAAGGATGGGCAACCAGCATCTGCCTCGGGCCTGGAGAAGTTTGAAAGGATGGCGGTGACTGTGTCCAGCCAGGTCTCGCCTGGCTTTTCCCCTTCCGGTCTGGTGTGCCATCAGCTGGAGGATGTGTCAACGTGGCCATGTTCAGAAAGCCATATTCAATCTGATTCAGGTGTGCACGTACCATCGTCCGGGAGCTCTTCTACAACTCAGAAAGATGGGCTTGGTCAGACCGGCCAGTGGCATCACGCGTCACTGGGCAGTCGTTACAAGCCTCACAGAGACCAGCGATGTTTCAAAGACAGGAACAAAGGACGACTCAATAGTTCTGGACTCGAAGTGGATCACGTTCCTGTCGCCGATGTTGGAGCAGCTCAAGAAAGGCAAGCCCATGGACTATGTGTGGAGCTTCCACTACGGAGAGTACCTATCTGTCTTTCGCGATTGCTGCAGAGACCTCAAAGTGGATCTTGTTCCTTATCAAGCCAGACATTCGGGACCAAGCATAGATCGGTCCAACAACTCAAGGACGCAGGAGGAGGTCAGAAAGAGAGGAGGATGGGTGTCTCGTCAGTCAGTGGCGAGGTACGAGAAGGCAGGTCGCCTAGCGGCCACATGGGGGAAGCTGGACAGTGCAACTCAACTGACCTGCAAGGCCGCAGAAGCGAACATAGAGGCCATCATCCTCGGCCAGCGCTACCCAGACATCGCGCTGCCGTGAGAAGTGAGCGGGGGCAGTACCTGGCAGACTTTTTCTCAGGAGTTGGAGGTGTAGCCAAAGCGGCAAGGGCCTTAGGTTTCAATGCTCGTGAGTGGGAGCTTCTACATGGAGAGAACAATGATTTGACTAGACCATGTGTTGTCTACAAAATCAAACAAGATGTGAAGCACTCAAAGATCATTGCTGCGATGTTGGCACCACCTTGCTCGTCGTTTTCACCTGCACGAGATCGCACATGTGTGGTACGCACCAAACAACATCCTTATGGAGTTCCCCAACTTACACCTGGGGATGCTGAAAAAGTTCGTCTTGGCAACAGTTGTTTCAAGTCGGCCTATGAAATTATTTGTTGTCTCAACAAGTACGGCATTCCGTGGATCTTGGAGAACCCTCACTCGTCCAAATGTTGGTACCTACCAGAAATGCAGAAGTTGATGAGTCTTCCCACAGTACATGTGCGTGTGACTGATTTTTGTTGTTATGGGACGCGCTGGCGCAAGAGGACCAGACTCCTGATTGGTAACATTGATCCTCAAGATTCACTAGGACTTCAGAAAACCTGTTCTGGCACACGGGGTTTCTGTGGTCGCTCCAATCGAAAGCACTTTCAGCTTACCGGGTCTGGTCCTGGAGGAGTTCCATGGACACGAATTGCCCAGCCATATCCACGACAACTTTGTCATGTCTTGGCTCACACACTGGTTGTGGACAAGCTCGTCGTCCCAGCAGATTGAACCAGCAGCAGCAACAGCAACACGCGCCGGTTTGTTTTGGTTTCTTGGTTCTCCCCCCCCTTGTTCTTTCCCCCCCTTGTGAACACCTGTGCTTTGGGGGGACCTGCAGTAGTGGCTTGGGAGGTTGGATGATGCGAAGCATCAAATCATTTGTCATGGCACCT